TTGTTGATGAGCTAAACTTGGCTTAAAGAACTCCATTCAAGGTGTGCACGGCATTGTATGGCGATGCCCTGCTTTGATAAGGGCCACAGGGACTAACTGCGCGTCAAGCGACCGGTGTCGATCGAAAACACTGCCGCTTAATGGAGCAGCGTCGATCGAGAGCGCTGTCATCATTTGGCAGAACAGCGTCGATCGAGAGCTCTGTCATCATTTGGCAGAGCAGCGTCGATCGAGAGCGCTGTTTTCATTTGGCAGAACAGCGTCGATCGAGAGCTCTGTCTTCATTTGGCAGAGCAGCGTCGATCGAGAGCGCTGTCTTCAATTGGTACAGCAGCGTCGATTGAGAGCTCTGTGTTCATTTGGCAGAGCAGCGTCGATCGAGAGCGCTGTCTTCACTTGGTACAGCAGCGTCGATCGAGAGCTCTGTGTTCATTTGGCAGAGCAGCGTCGATCGAGAGCGCTGTCTTCATTTGGCAGAGCAGCGTCGATCGAGAGCGCTGTCTTCACTTGGTACAGCAGCGTCGATCGAGAGCTCTGTGTTCATTTGGCAGAGCAGCGTCGATTGAGAGCGCTGTCATCATTTGGCAGAGCAGCGTCGATCGAGAGCGCTGTCATCATTTGGCAGAGCAGCGTCGATCGAGAGCGCTGTCATCATTTGGCAGAGCAGCGTCGATTGAGAACGCTGTCTTCATTTGATGGAGCAACACAGAGGTCTTGACTGTTGCCTGACGACCTGATACGACGGAGCCCCATCAGCCGGGCGCGGAGTCGGAGCAGATGCGTCGCCAGCGCACACCGACCGCCGCTTGCATAGATCGCAGGGTGGTCTTTTGCGACGGGTGATCGAGATCAGACAAGTTGCCTTCTGCTATAGGATTACAAAAACAAAAGTCAATAGCTGTGAGAGAAGACATTTGCTATGGAAACTGAGTTACTTAAAAAATATATCCAACTGAGTTGGGGCCGTAATTTTTTAACATTAATTGCTTGGTTCAGCGGCTGGATTAGATCTGGATTATGAGAGAGAGAGAGAGAGAGAGAGAGAGAGAGAGAGAGAGAGAGAGAGAGAAGAGAGAGAGAGAGAGGAAGAGAGAATAGGGAGAGAGAGATGAGAGAGGAGAGAGAGACAGAGATAGGAGAGAGAAGAGATAGGAGATCAGAGAGAGATGATAGAAGAGAGAGCAGAGAGAGAGGAAGAGAGAGAGAGAGAGAGGGATCTCTCTTCTCTACGCGCTCTCCTCCTCTGCCCGAGAGAGAGGAGAGAGAGAGAGAGAGAGACCGATGGCACGATACGGTGCGCGGGGCGCACGTGCGCGTGACGCCGCTGTGATACGGCTGGGGAGCGTTGGCAGCGTTCTCTGATCTCGCGACGCTCATCACGCGCGCGGCTGGCGGAAGCGTTTGCTGTTTAATCATCTAATGCGACACGCAGACGGCGGCGGAGACACACGCAATCCGCTCATCCCCCGCACTCTCTGGAAATTATCCGCCTAGGCAGGCACGCGCCACCACCTTCGGGCCGCTGTCCCCCCCCCCCTCCCCCTGAAAGCGTGATGCCTGGGGTGGGGCTGCTGGAGAGGATAAACAGGGGAGTGATCGTTGCGAACTGGAAATGTTCCTCGTGAAGGCCCAGCAGCGCAGGAAAAAACTGTGTCAGTCTGTAGCGACCAGGAGTGCGCAATGCGTTAGAGATCTCTTGCGCTGGTTTGCGCTACGTTGCGTTGAAATAGGAGAGAGGAGACGAGATCAATTAGTGTCAAGCTGGCAGGAGTGAAACCATCCCATGGTTTTGCAATGCTCCCCCCCCCCCCACAGACATCTTGTACCAAACCGGATACACTCTCCTTTAGGTATCCTTCTAAATGTAAAACCGTTTATCGACCAAACCCTGCCGGCGTCGATATCAAAGCAAGGGAAGGGTTACCATCGAGAGCTGCGAGAGTGCAAGTAATGAGACACCTTGCGGCGATCTGATGATGAAAACAGACCGCATTGAACGGATGTGAGAGAGCCACATCTCGGGCGTTAAGAACAGTTGTTTAACACGTGCGTACGGGGGCTTAGCACGTGCGGTACGCTCCCTGAGGCGGTGCAAACCTCGGGCACGACTGCTTGCCTCGCAGCAAACTATGGTCGCCCGTCCACAAACACCTTCACTTTTGGGAAACGTGACCTGGCACGTGCTGAGCTGTGCCTTAGCGCTTCCTTTTTGTTTTGTTGCGACACTAGGAGCGGAGAGACAGTCTAGCTACCTTCAATCGATGGTGCAAGGAGCGTTATTCACTAGCATAGATTTGCTCTAAATGTCGGGTTAAAACGATTTCTGAAATTGACCTCACATCACGGCGTCCGCGGGGCTCACGTGAGTCCTAATGATGATACCTCTTCACCGGAAGTAATCAAACTGCTTGAATGACTCCCCGAGGCCACTGCGGTACACAATATCTCAAAATGTCCATGAACCCTTTCATAGTTTACACGTGAGCTGATGGTCCAACGTGTACGGCTGCGCGCTGTCAGTTTTCCAGAGCCTGCAAACCGTGACCAATTTTCTTCATTGCCATAGCACAAAATTCTGTCTTCGCAGTGTTCAGTGGCATGTTTCGTGGAAAAGGCGTAAGAGCTGTGTGCAGTTTTCGCTGGCTGCCCCTCACTAGGTGGGAACGCGCAAAGCTAGGTTCTCGTCTACTAAATGTATTGGAAAATTCTCCGCGAAAGCCAGACGTTATCATGTGTAGCAAGACTGCTGGATGCAGAAGCTCAGCATTGAGTGATCGGTCTTTATGAACTGGACTTTGGATGCTGTGGTGAACAGTGTTTATATGGTGACTGGTAATAAGGCACAGCCATAGTGATATGAACGGTAGCTACGAGCACCTAGTAAATCAAAGTTGTGCAAGAATTTAAACAGTAGCTACGAGCACCTAGCAAATCAACAGTTGTGCAAGAAGTTGAAGGTGTCTTCCGTCACTGCATGTCAGCACTGCCATTGATTTCAATCAGATATTTTTGTGTTTATGCTATGAACATTTAAGTTAATAATTCAGGCTTCGAATTTCGCACACTGCAAATTTGCAACTATCTTGCCCCAAACTTTTACGAAGTCTGAAGAGCTATGTGCACCAAGGCTGCAAAGTCGCACGTGCCTACACTTGTGCTCACTCGTAATCGATTCCGGTCATGACTCATAGCTCGCGGACATGACTCAGGCTCTGAATCAAAGCAACATAAAACTGACTGCGATTCTGCCACAAGAATATTTGGTTCAGTGCCGAAACTGACCGCGTTCGGTTTGATTCTAGGGGTGACATTTCGAAGATAAAGTATGCTGTATGGAACATAAGCCGTTGTGTAGCAAATATTTTGCACACTGCGTAGTCACGCCACTTTCGCTCCCATTTCCTGCCGATATATGCTGTCTGGATGATGCAATCGTTTGTAACTAACACTTGAGCTTTGAGAACACATATGTGATTCTAGGAAAATAACTCACCAAGTCCCGACTTATCAAAATCCTTTGTGGAATGTACTCCACCCCAGCACTAATAAAATGTGGTCGATCCCGGGATCGATTTACGCTCCACGTTGATTCCAGAACAAGTGCGCTTGTACCTGCAAGCGAGGTACGTATTCAACACTGATACTCCCCGATGAATGCTGCTTGAACGAACGCTTAAAGTACAAAGTTCGTCGGGACTCATTCACGGCTTTTAAAGGTCAGCAATCATTCAACTATGCGTCGTTATTATGTAATAGAGACACCGTTGCACTGGAAGCGTTTTAGTAGATTGTCACCAAAAACACGTCCCTCGTCAACCGGCTGCCAGCTGCAAGTCGGACTGGTGCGCCAGCCGCCGCCGCCCGCAGTCGTATCTCTGCCGGCGGAGAGACTCCATCTGGCCTGCTGGCCGCAGCCAGCCGCTGCTCCCGTTAGTCAACTCGGCTGCTGCGGGGCGCGCGCGCGTGCAGGCGGGCCGACCAGCGGGACGTAAAATCGGACACGCCAGATGACAGCCATTACCCGTGGCCGGCGAACGTTTGTGGGATGAGGCGGAGATCTGATGGCGCCCGCCGGTTTCACGACGATGTTCCCAGGCGCGTTGACAGATCATTGAGAGATCAAATAAAGATTAATGACAGATGATCATCGGGACCGTTCAGATAACGCACGCGCTTCGCACATTGTAAGGCGCGGATTACATTTCTTAAGACGGGTATGTAATCCCACGAAATTACCTCTTCTTTTGTACGGTGGCCTCCCTGCATCAAGGCTTAAGCTATTACGTAAGCTATCGATTCAATGTATCAGCTATTGCAATCAGATGTACCCTAATGGAGTCGTCAAATGACTAAGCTGTTGTAATCCGATGTTAGCATTCTTTGTAGCGTGTCCCATACCAGCAAGTCAATTAAGTATGTGGAGCATGCTAATCAGAAAACGTATGCACGCTCACTTATGCCAGGTCCTCTCAGGGGATGGGTGAACGAGTCCAAACATATTGAGACCAGATTTTTGTTCTTGCCGCGCTGAACGACAACGCTCATTTTTCGGAGATGGAGTGGGGTCTGCCCCGTGTAACCTGAGCATTGCCTGCACACGCGGATCTTCATTCAAGACACTCATATCTTCGGTAGGAACTAGGAGGGTGTGATGCGGTATGGTAGTCCATGTCCGGTATGGTTGCACGTAAGGAATAGGTCGAGCAGAAATGTCAAACGCATCACATACGGTATCGCTCTAAACACAGCAAGAAACAACACAAACTCAGACGCAGCAATGCTGTATGGTCGTACCTTGCCACGCTTGCCACATGAGCAGCGACAAGCAAGCCAGACCGAGCGTTGGAGCCACGTGCGGCAGTCGTTTAACCATGCAGACGGTGTTTACGAAGCACAACCTTGTTGCGCCATCGCGCAACATCTCACCCTACAACACGCAGCGTGACCCCGAGACGTGACGTCCGCCGGCGGGCAACCGGAGCCGGCGCGCGGCGGCTTACCTGATATCGGAAGCGCCCGGGGCACCAGTGCAGCGCCGCAGGCCCACGCGCCTCGTTTGCTCGCTACCGCGGTGGCGTCGGCTGCATCTCACGCCCGCCACCTGGCTGTCGCCATGGCAACGACAGATAGCCGACAAGTGTTTGTGTTTGGGTGCGGCTAATGAGGCGGGCAGCCGCGGCGCCAACAAAGAGGCACGCTCCGCGCCCGTGCGCGGATTCGGCGCCGGCGGCCGCGGGTCTGGCACGTGGCGCACGGGCCGGCACGAGATCCGCGTCGGCTGCAGAAGATCAATCGACGCGTCGACCGGCGCGCCGCCACCGTCGCCGCCGCCGTCGGCCGTCGGTGGCGCCGCGGCGGCCGCCATCTCATCCCCGCCCTGACTCAGCCGCGGCACTGGTTTATTTGGTCCAGCGTTGCCATGACGACCGGTTATGGGCATTATTATTTCACCGCTCCTCATCTCTGGATTAGTATTCGGCTCATAACTAATGCAGGCTAGGCTGATCTGCGTGCAAGATACGGCCGGACGAGGATGGGGATTGGGGCCCGGATGGCTGCCGGCGCCGGAGGGCTGACCTGGCCACCCGCCGGCGCCCAGAGGGCTCCATGTCAGCTGCAGAGGCAGCGCCACCGCAGGAGGCTCACCCGCCTGGGCGAGCTGCAACCTTTGTCCAAGATCGAGGCCGGCTTTGAGACAACGCCGCCTTGATGTGGTTGAGGGACCAGGTGGCAGGACTGCAGGCCGGTGTGGGACCGGTATGTGATCAATGTTGTGGCGTAGCTCCCACAATGCTGCTGACAATCTGGCGCACCTCATTTGATATCCAATACGGTTCTAGATGAGAATTTGGCAGTTGTACAATTACCACCGATTTCAATATTCCACTGCACTCTACAAAAGCTTTTACTTTTTATCCAATTTGTAAACGACGGTACAGTCGCGCATGAAAATAATTCCTCCAACCAAACAAATATATAACGTTTTGCCACTGCTGACACCGTTTCTGGTACTGTGCAGACATTCTGCCAAATGAAAACCACTAGCGACATGCATGCTGCAATCGCTGCAACAGATATTTATGCATCTAAAAATATCTGATAAAAGCGCTGAGCTGGTTATGTCGTAGGAAATCCACAAAGCTGTTATCATAACAGAAAATGGCCAGCATAAGCCAATGGTGTGATATATCTCATCCAAGGTGAAGTTAGCGTTAGGTCAAATCTTGCAAACTGTACAGAGCATTGCTATATCTGAGAGTGCTTTTATATGATCGTCGCAAATTCAGCTTAAAGGTTTAATCATTCCAGGCGTAATGCTATAAAAGATTGTGGATTGACCTCGAGTGACCTTTCATTAATCTTTGGAAGAAAAAAGTTGCATGCCGTGACTAGAACTAGCTTATCTCTGCGTACGTCCAAACAATTGCGTTGAGATCACCGGCGCAGGCCAAATGAGGTGGGGGAGACTTACGACTGCATTTTGTAATATATTTCCATAGATGAATTTTTGCAGAAAATCGGAAATTGGCGTGATGCGTTCTCACCGAGTTCCCTCAACCGCCCCGTGGAGAAAAACTTGCTGCGTTCCTGGGCGAGGTGGAAAACACGTTAAATAACCTCTTCACGGACTTGGCAGGCAAACTGCATTTAATACTTTGTGCAACGTTGGCATGATATGAAGATCAGGTCTAGGGTCACCGCCCCATTGTTTAGAATTTCTGCCCACAATAGCCAGCGTGTAACTAGTAGCAGCGCACTGGTACCAACGCTCTGTACCCTGCAGAACGATCCGGTACGGGCAAGGCTGGAGAGATCTTGAACGGAGTGTCCCAGGTTTCTATGGGGTTTGGAACTGGAAAAACTTCTTGAAGACCTTTCGGTGCTGATCACAATCCTGGCATTCTGAAGACCTAAGCCTCTCTACTCTCTGAGCTACACGCCCGCAAAATGGGAAGGTTATTTTGGGGCAAGTATTTCAAAGTCACCTTGACACTTATGACGTTATGATAACGTCATTCAAAACCCGCCACTCTATGAGCCATGCGGCGATCAAGGCCAATATAAACATGATTGTCGAGGCTTTCATATCTAGCGTTCGTAAGCATGATTTCCAGATAAAACGGATGTCAACTGACTCTCAGTCAATGTTGTGCAAGGTACCATGATGTAATCAAACAATGGTGTACCAAGGAGTAAATCTACTTAACAGAGAATTGTGTCTAGAGCAGTCTTTTCCGCTTAAAATATGTACCAGTAGCTATAAGTGAGCTTGTTTTATCATACCTAATGCTTGCTTCAATATCTTCAAAAGTGAACCATTTCCTTTAAGCAAAAAGATAAGCTAAAATGCCGATTTTTCGTGTGGGTCCGACAAGTGATATCAGTATCCTGAGATACCGCCTCAAAATCATTCACAATTTCAGTACCGTAAGTGCAAAACAATGCAAGGAAAACAAACTGAAGATGGAGCTTTACTGCCGTTTTTGTTTTAATCCGCGCCACTCCCTCCACTCCTATCCGCATGCCCATTTCATACTACAGGTCCATTATCGATGACGTTGTTCCTGACTGCGGCTATGTTAGGAACACTTCGCTAAACTACACTCAGAACGGTGACGTCAAAAATGACAGCTTCATGCTGATGCATCACACCTGCATTGCTGGGAGAATATTTTCTTACGGAAGGCTTAGAAGCACGTACCCAATGTTACGTGGATGAACTCCGGTAACCGATTTTTATCCACGAACAATGACAAAACAGTGACCGGTCTTTTTGCTTCTTAATGAACTTATTTGTCCATCCACTTGGGATCAAGATGGATATTTTTTTCTTCATACATACTTATAATTAGCAATGTCAAAACACCTGATGGTGCGCATCTCACTGCAAAGATTTCCACGCTGGATTGTTTGCATTCACAGTAACACCGGTTCAACAGGTTGCAAGTTTTCATGCGGCACGAACGACACCCAACGGAAGTTGTCGCTGCACGTGAGTGCTTATCAGGGGCGAGCAAAGGTGTGCACTTCCGGGAAGGCTAAGTGGAGACCCACCGTGCTGGTGTGCTTTGATAGTGAATGCGTTTATGCAAGTGTATTTGCTTCTATGTCCCGCACACCGATGTTTCGGCTGACCAACCGTAATATAGCAGGGGCTGGTACTGTGCACAGTTTAAAAGATCACATTTGACTGATAAACCCAATTTCAAATCACCCAAGCTGCTGGTAAAAAATATCGCTCACTGCGTTTATTGCTGAGTTGATTATAAGGGAGTCCCTTCGTTGAAGGAAAGAGCACCAAAGTTTGCCCTTGCGAGGCGAGGCCCCGGGCCCGCCTCCGGGCCAACTCCAAACAAGATTGTTTGGCGTTGTCTAAAGCAATGCAGCACAACGTGACTCATCTGCTTTGAGTAGCTAAATGCACCGGCGAAGATCAGGTGGACTGGTATAACAAGTGCAACTGTCGGGTACTGCACATCAACGCTATCGCATCATTAACCAACGTTTGCGTTACGGTCACACGGGATCACACACATGAAAAGTTTAGCAGCTCAGCTCCTTATCGAGTGGGTGGTTCCTGTGTAACAGCTAGGCAAGGTGGTTTGAATAGTGGAAATATTATCGGCGACCGAGGGAAACCTCGACGCAGAAGGCAGACACCCGCTGTCGATGGCCTATCTAAGTAACCATTGTCATCGAAACCTGCCTTGAATGAAGAAGGCTATCAGAGTCCTCGCGGCGTCGTCATTAAGGTGCTTCCGGAGGGCAGAGACAAGATAAGGGAAAGTAAAGATGAGTCAGTATCGAGGCCTTTAAGTGCACTGCCACTTGTTTAGGTAATCATCAACGTACCAGTGACTGATATGACTGACGTTCACCAACATTTAATTTCCGTTTTACCTGCTAGCCCTGCACACATATAATGCGTATATGTCATTCCGGAGTCTCCACCTTACCTGTGCTGCTCGTCTTTTTCCCAGCCGCCTTGCCTTTAGCTTCGCCTATTTTCAAATTACGATCGCTGCGCTATCCTCCGACTCGTACGTCCCTCCGTTCCCTAGGTGGTGGCATCGGCTTATGGGCCGATGATTTGGCTGTTTATTTCCCCTCATTACATAATGCCTGCCCACAAAGCGTAACTACCCGTGGGCCACCGCTGAGCAATAGACGTAATGATGTCAACAGGCCCGGGGTGATCTATGCGCCGTGGCTCCGCGCGCTCGCCGGCCATGTCGGCCCCGGAATGACGCATTACGTCCGGGGGCTATCCGCCAGAGCCGTCTAGAAGCAAGCATTCATTCTCTGTATTTTTCTCTGAGGGCTTTTGCAAACGTAGGGTGGGAAGCAGGGCGGACTGTACGGGGAAGAACGTCCCCCCGGGATGGGCAGGCACAAACATGGGCAGAGGGTGCACGAGCGGGTCGGACAGGTCCGTGCTCACGTGCATGGTACGGACACGATAGATCGTCTGCCACGTGCTAGCGGACGGGGGGATCAATCACAAAACATCATGCCAAAACGCGGCGATGCACAACATTGACACACAAAGCAGGTAGAGGGTGTTTGCCAGTGCGGGGATGAGCAAAACAACGCTCTGGTGTGTCTACTGCCGATGGATTGTGCGATGATTTCATTGAAGACAGCGGCAACGCGGTATAAAGCGATGGAAGCCTCATGAGAGAAGACACCTCAGGGCGGACCATTGCTCCCATTGCTTTTTTGTCCACCCTTTCCCAAGATAGAGAATAGCAAACTACGGGCCGCCAGAGTCGTGGGCTTTCTACCCTTAATTGATTGAAAGATTTTTCGTCGTCGCAGAAGCTCGGTAAGTTATCGTGCAAGAATACCACTGCACACAAGAATGCATGCAACCCTTCCAATTTCTGTGTAGAATGGGAAGGCTGCGATAGTGATGTTTAAGTCACATATTGCCCTTATTCCCTCCAGGTGTTATCCCAACATTTCACTCAAATCACGATGCCGGGCATTTGCTGACCTAGACGTTACCTGGTGGCGACGTCCCGCCCGCGCGAAGTGGAATAATCGAATCACTGCACTATACGGACCAACTGCTGACGACGATTAATTGGCCGTTTTCCCCACCGTGGCCGCACACCCAACATTCACCAGCGCGCGTCACGCTGCATGCATGATGGCAAACACGCCAGCTCTGCTTCGTCGCGCACTGCAGGCAAACCAGCAAATTGTCGTTCTGTCACC